GTGATCTCTTTAGATACCCTGTAATTACAAGTGAAAACAAATACTACACGGTGTATATGATAATTACATTTTTAGGGATTGTTGATAACTATATATTAATTGTATAAACATGAATATGTGATATTAAGTTTTATAATCCATATATATATATATATATATATGTGTGTATATATTTATTTATTTATTTATTTAAATGCCAAGAAATGTTATTCCTGTCAATATTCCTAAGAATAGAAATTGATAACTAAAACTAACTCCCATCTAATTTTGTTTATCAATCAAATATTTTATTGAAAATTAAAAATAAATAATATAAATAATGTAATAATTGAGATAAAAAAAGTATAACATTAAAGGAAAAACTTTATTAAAATAAATCATGTAACATTAAATAAAAGTAGTAAACGAGAAATTTTATCAAGTATTGAAAGCAAAAATTTAACAAAAACAACTGCAAGCTCAAAATGTTATTTCAAATAATGTTTGAAAAAACTTTATTCAAACTTATAAACTAGTGATAAATTAAAAATTTATTGTATAACATTCCTAGTCCTGAAATGTTCACAAATGACAGGAATAACAAGTTGCGCTAAAAGACAAGGGCGCCTGGCCGGGTTATGAAGTGATCAAGGAAAGTTGATCGAAATTTGGACGACTTTTTGTCTAGCTTCACCATCATTCGCATACTATGTAAAAGACTAAATTTAACAAGCATCATAACAATGTTTAGAAGCACGCTACAAGTGTTAGAGCTTCAAATTAAATTTAAGAAAAAAATGTCAAGGAGCATATATACAGTTCAGAAACACTTGCCCTGAAATTTTACTGCAAATACATTAGCAAGAGAATGCAAAATTAAGTCATGCTGGCTTTAATGAATGAGCATTGCATTTGGCTCCAATCATGCATTAATTGCCCCAACAATATGAGCTCCGGTATCCGAGTGACACAAAATTTTATAGCATATGCACTGACGCAGGTCCAAACACATTGACTCATAGTTAACTCAGTCATCACTAGTTGCCAAAAAAACATTCATCAGAGCTCAGCAAGAAGCATTATGATCATATTCAAAATACTAGCAGCAACACTAAAGTCAATTTTTCAAAATAGTGACAAATGCAGCTAAGCAAATGTTGGCACTTTAACAGAAGTAAATGCAGTTTTGATCATGTGGACGTACGTGCAGATCATAAACATAGGAAAGGAAATTATATTTGCATCATACAACTACATCTATACTACCGCATGCAATCAATTGCCTGAATAAGTAGTTGGATTGACAATCTAAATGATATAATCAATCCCATGTTATGTGAAACGCTGATGTAATACAGACTTTTCCATGGATTCAGCAACATGATTACTAACCTTTCAATGCCACAGCATTCGATGATAAACAAAACAATTCAATGATGAAGATCACAGAAGATGGAAACTCCCAGACCTATAGTAAGGACACATACTTCATAGTTAAGATATATATTGCATTTAATAACGTCATAGACATTAGACAGACACACGATCAACAATAAAGTTGAAAAAACCAACTTAGATTTCTTCATTGCAAATATTACCATCATGGCAACAAGAAAAATCTTGAAGTAACTTGAAATCATGAGCATAAGCAAAAGGTCATTGCACCTGCATTGATTAGTGATTTAAGCAGAACTGCTGAAGTGATCATGGTGGTCCAGAAACACCAAACTAATATGGTAGAAAAATATAATAACTATAAATAACAAAATCATAAATGCTTCCATGAAGTTAAGATGAGCATATATAGTCCCATATTCTATCATGAATTATCTTTTTTCATCCCATTAATTACATATTTAGATGGATTAAAAGATAAAACTTGATAGCATAATATTAGGCATTAATTACATATTTAAATGGAAGGATTGGACATATTTACATAGATTAAAAGATAAAATTTGTTGTCCATTGCTTCAAGTATTTGAAGAGACAAGCATAGATAATTTGGGAGTCTTTTAAGACAGTCATTAAAGAGATTTTCTATTGGAGGCACAGAAAATGCTTACGGGCAACTTGCAGCATTGAAGCAAATAGATAGGTTGGATGGAAGAACTTGTCCAGCAACCAACAATTTGAAATGTAATGGCCAAAACCAATGAAGTGCCAGAGAAATCAGTTTTGAGGTTCTTAATGAATAGAATTACGTTACCAAAAGAAAGATAAGAACTCATGATCCTCAAACCATATAACCAGTGGCCAGAACCAGAAGAGCTGAAAATGAAACTTACGGAGAGAGTATAGGCTTAGTTTTAGAAATAAATTTGAAGGGCTCTGCTTCTGTTATGGAGTAATATGCAAATGGAGATATGATTATAGATCAGTTCAAAAAGTCAGGTTTGCGGCATGAACATTTGGTGTTTTCTCAATCAACAATTACTGTTTTTTGGATAACCCACTTAATTCAGGTGTGACCCAAACCCAAGAACCACAACCTGACCCAAATCCAAGTGTTAAATTGATGGGATTTTCTCTGTATCTGGTTTGAGCTCTAATGCAAGCAGTACACCAAATTCATAGTTTAGAAATAGGAGAAAACAACATCTATTTTACAAAGAGTATGTCAGGAGAGAATAGAGACATTGTTTTCAATGTGGTCAACAATTTGGGCCATTCAATGGGCATCATGAAAGGTGGTTTTAGGAAAGCTTATTTTGGAGGAAGATGATGAAGGGGAAGAAAAAAGAAAATTTGAAAGGGTTGAACTGATAGAACCAAATTCAAATGCTAATCTGCAAAGGACAGATTTCTTCTTTCAGTTTTGATAACAAGGCTGCTTAAGTACCAAAAGGCATTGATTGACCAAAGTCTAAATTCGCTAGTTATAACTCTGTACTGGGAAGTTACAAAGCAGCCACTTTTATATTAATTTCAGATTAGGCAGTTATATGATATGGTGTGATAATTATAGTGATATATATAGGTTGTGTGACAGACTTATAGAAAGTAACTAAAGTGTCAAATTGTTATTTCTGGTGTTTCTATGTTCATACTAATCTACTTGTCATATCTAGTCCTATAAAAAGAAACACACCCCCTGAAAAAATCTTGAGTGCAAAATTTTGATAGCATGAGATTCCTAATGGACAATTTTGTTACTAAATCTTTCTTCAACCTGCTAAAATAACAGATTGCTATCTTTTTTTGTAAAATTAAATGGAAAGTGCGTTAACTAATTGTCCCTTTCCTCATTACAACTATGGTATGACAAATAAATAAAAAATATATACCTGGAGAGGGTGATTGGGACATGAAAAAATGTCTTAACCATAAAGAAGAAAGTCAATAGAAACATAAAGTTCCCAAATATAACATCCATCAGCACCTGACAATGAAAGCCATAAAACATTCATCACAATTGGCACAAAAATCCATACTAAGTAATTTGAGTAAAAGAATGATTTTAATATAGACATCTGAATTCTGAACCTTCCAGCATATTGATAATAAAGAAGAGAAGCTCGTTGATGAACCCAATTTTCCCTTGCTGCCTTCCAAGATCAAAAATCTGTCTTCAACAAACGGAAAAGTCCTCAATTGTGATATATGGTTTTGTAAACCAAAAGCTAGAATTTACGATTTTATGCTCCTTAAGCATTAAAATAAAAAGAAAAATATCCACAAAAGAATGCATACAAGCTTCAAAAAGAAGAAAAATGACAGCCGATTTCCAGAGTAGTCCCTGCAAAGTTATAAAAAAGTATTTGCCAGTTAGTGTTGGTAAAGGTATAAATGAATCAATAAGATGTACAAGTGAAAAATTGATGAAAAATTGGATTTGATTATTCTAAGCATTACACATGCCATATGTTAAAATGAATTTTTTTTAGTAAGAGATGTCTTATTAGAATAATTTTTTTTTTTTGTGAATACTTATTTTAAATTTGCATTCCCCTACCGAACCATGCATATTATTCAAGTTCTACCTGATCATAAAACCAAAACAAATATCTTGTGTGCACCGACAGGGCCAAAATGCAAGTAGCAATAGAAAAAAATATATCAATTTGTTTATTTAAATACCCAAAATCTATTGATGAGATATTTTTCATATAAAGTTTAAGAATACACAAAAGTGACAATGTAAAACCTGTTGAAGATTCTAATATCCAGTTCAAAATTCAGAATGCTTCATGCTTGCTATTATCAGACAATAAAATGACAACTGCTACCAATAACACTAATGTCAGCAATGATGCCGACTGAAATAATGAGATTGGCAATATTCAAAAAAGAGAGAAGTCATAATTACAATACTCAACTGTTAAAAAAAAATAGTGCTCACCAAGGATACATAAAAACAACACACACGATGACTTAATTATACAGGATGGAGGTGTAGGAGGAATAATGTAGGATCTCAACCATACCTGAAACTTGATTGTTTCTTGATTGATGACATTGTGGAGAAGATGTCTATAGGCCTTGAGCTTGTGAAGTATCAAATCAATTACAAGAATCTACAAAGGGGAATCAGGTTAATCTCAAGACAAAAAATTAAGGTTTCAACTTATAAACTAGTGACATAAGGGAGTATGGGCACCATGATTTCACATTCAATATATTCATCTGCCACAGCCTTGCAGCTCTCCTATGACACAAGGATCGGGAAATCAGTTCATTAATTGGGAAATTCAAGACCAAATAGAATGAATGATCATGAGTTTCATTTTATTTTTCCTATAAAGAAGGCCTACACATTTCATCAAGCGAATGTTGCCTGGAGAATACTGCACGTAAAGTGTTCTTACTGGAAACCCACACTGAATGCATCTGTAACCCATTGGTGATGAAATTACAATTCAGATTCAATCAAAATTGCACCTTCATAATTGCCAGCATCCAGAGACACTCAACTTCTACAAAAAAGAGACAAAGGAACCTAAAGTGTGAACACACAACAAGAATGCTGAGATGGAAAATGTATGAAAATTAAAAGTTTGAGTGTTGAGGTGTTATATGACCCTTTTCTTCTTCTGAATTGGTTTGTTACTGTTAAAGCTATTTTGAAGCTAACATGCTTTTAAATCATAACTTAAGAGTCAGCAAGAACAGGTATTGACGATGCATGTCTGCCTCCCTTCAATTTTTCTTATCAGTGTGTGTGAAATCATTTGTTACAAATTTAATTAAGTGAACCTGTCAAGTCAGGACCATATTATTTCCATTCTTTGACTATGATTACATTTAAATGGATTTTAGGGCCTAGTGTGTGATGGATAAATCAAGTTATAACAAAAAGGGTTTCAAGAGAAAAATAGTTGTTCAGGCCCTTTTTAGAAAGGTCTTGTCTTCTATCTGTCTGGGTTAAGTGACCACAAACAGTCAACTTGATACAAATTCTGTCCGTCTATTTCTGTATGAAAAATAAAATAAGCCTTTTTAAATTTCTTTGGTAACCTTTATTTTGTTCTAGGATTTCTTAAACAAATATCAGGTACCCATAATACTGAAATTAAATGATGAATTATTGTAGGAGAAATTTTGTTTCTTTTAAAATGTATGTTAGGAAATGTTCAAAACTCAAAAGGCTGCCCCTAGTTTAATTATGGAGAGGAATGGTTTTATTTATGGTTTCAGGAAAAAATCTGGTACTCTATTCTTAACATTGGAGTATGCAATTGCTTAATGCTCAAAAGTTTTCTCTTACATTTTTTTCAACATTTTAATGTAAAAAGGCTCGTGAGAGGGTAGTCTTGGCACAATGGTAAGATTGTTGCCTCGTGACTTTGAAGTCACAGGTTCAAGTCTTGGAAACAGTCTCTCCACTGGCAGGAGTAAGGCTGTGTCTATCCTCCCCAAACCCCACTAGGTGGACAGTCTTGTGGACTGGGGCACCCTTTAATTTAAATGGCATTCAATGACCACACTTGCAATTGTGTCTGTTATGAGCTTAATGTATGATTAAATTTTTCTCCTACTATTCTGTTTCCAGGTGCCAAAGTTTTGTTCAAGAGATAACTCATTAGTTGTCAAGGAAATCTTAGGTGTTACAGAGTATGCTCTATATGCTTGCTCTTATGGTTGTTTTGGTTCATGCTAGTAAAAATGATTGAAATATTTGATTCTTTGGCTATGCATATAGAGAAGACTTTGTTAGAAAATACAAAACTCACTTCAATAATCTCTACACCTTGAAAGGAATTAGTTTTCGACTATTAGTTAGAGGGCATCCTTGGAACAAACCAAAAGAAATAAAAGGGAAACCAATATCTAGAATTTTATTTTGTACCATTCTTTCCTTTGAAGTTTCTTGACAAACTTGATATCTCTATAAGCATTCTTATGTAAATATAGCTAGCATTAAAGATGTCAGATGCTACGAATTTATACCAGCATGCTAGAAGTCCAATGGAGCCTTTTTTTTTCTTTTTTCTTTTTTATGAACATGTCTTTGTAAATAGGGTGATAAATTTTTCTTCAAAGGAATGTTAATTGAGTTGCAAATTAACTCTCAGAACAGCCAAACAAAAATGTATAGCAGCATGCTAGAAGTCCATTTGAGCCTCGCTTCTTTTTTTTTTCTTTTATGAACATCTCTTTATAAATAGGGTGTTGATTTTCCTTTCAAGGAAGTTAATTAGGTTGCAAATTAACTCTAAAAACAACCAAAAAAGAATGCATGCACATAGTCAAGTTCATCAACACCATGATAACAAATTCATATTACATGCATCATCACAGTTCACTCAGCCCATAAGTAAAGAAACAAACTCTGAGAAGAACCAACACGAGAGAGATTAGCCCAAAATGAGACCTATTCCTGCAGTCCAAATCACAACCACTAAGCACTAAACAGAAAAAACAAACTAATTCCCCACTTGTTCAAGCAACAAACACCACACAAGCTTTTATATAACAAAATATAACTCCAGCAGTCGCAATGGACTTGAACAGCGTGTGGGAATCCAAATTCCGTGCATAAAACTGGATGCAGTATAGATTTCAAGCCAATGTCATGTGAAGGTAAGATTAACCGCACGGAATTTTGTCATGCCGGAATATTAATTAACAACAGTAGGTTACAATCCGAATAAGTCCAATATATCCGATACCAAAAAATAAAAACAAAAGGCGATTGAAATGTCATTTTTCATCGTAAACGATGACAAATAATTAGAAGCTGATTCACGCGATCCAGAACCGTAGGTGTTAGTTATTATTTAAAGTCCAGTACTTATGGCATTACAATCATTGAAAAGAAAATGAATCAGAAGAGTGCAAGTTTAGGCATTGAATAGAAGGCACCACTTAGTTTACAAATTACCTCGAATGAACACAATTGCGTAGGCAGAAATGACTTCAAATTGTGTCACAGATAGTGAATCGGAAGAAAACTTCAACTACTGAGAGTGCCTCTCGCCTACTGCAACTCTACCCTCCAAATCCTCTCAAAGCTCGCAACGCGACATGCCGAAGCTGTCTCTATTTTGTTTCTGAAACCCCGGGAATTGTTGGGCTTCTTTTGGGCTTTTCATTTCAAATACAAGATCCCAAAATTACAAAAAAATATAAAATTCGTTACAGTAATATTTTTTTTGGTTACACAAATTACAAATTAAACATATAGAATAATTAATAGTATAATTTAGCTTTTTTTAATATCAAAAATATATTTTCCTTTCTTAATAAAAAATAAATTATTTTCTAAAAAATCATTGTGAATTTTTAGTCTATAATAAACAATGATCATTTTAAATTTCAAGATGTAATTTTAAATATTTTTTTACTTAATCAAAACATAAAGTCAAGGCGTAATTTTAAATATTTTTTACTTAATCAAAACATAAAGTTTGTCATATTCATTTACATAAAAATTAAATTATCAAACTCGACCAATATTTATTAAAATGCTCAATTTGATCTATAAATTTTTAAAAATAATACAATACACTCCTTTGTTAAAATTTTCAACACTGATCTCTCTAAAAAGTTTGATACATCAATCCTTTCTCCACACTAAATTGTTAAGCACAAATTTTACAAAATAACACACTATCCCATTCTCTCTCTTTTTTTTTTTTTTAGGTATTCCTAATCATGCCATAGTACTTAAAAAGATAATTTTCTACTGCAATTCAATTTTAAATATGCACGGAAATCATCTATAACAGCGAAATTAACTAAACACAACCCACCGTAGCACAATCCAATGCGTGCAAAATATAACTTTAGTTACATTTTGATCAGTTGGTAGTAGCAACTCAGTAAACCAAAAGGCAAAATAAGATTCAAGTTGAAGTTTATGGTTGAAGCATCGAGTTGGCTTTGTACAATACATTGTTTGATATATCTCTTGCTTTGCTAGTAAAGATAAAACATTGTTGCCCTGCTTGTGAGAAGTGAGAAGTAACCAACTACAGTGGTCACTTTCTTTAATGCAATGGATAGAAGACATAACCAATGACTATGTTCTGGTTCGTAAATCTATTTTATAAGGTTAAATTAAACTTAAATTTACTTTTTTAAAATATGTATCACCATTGTAATCTTTCTTGCTCAAATAAAAAATGTGGCATGTTACATGCTGAATGTGTCATTATTGGTATAATCGTTTTGGAGTTATAATTTTCTTGTGCTCATAAATATTTGCATCATAGATGTTCATATTAAGCAACAACACAGTTTCAACCGTCACTTTGTCTTTATTGATCTGCTGCGTTTGGGAAAAGTCAATCCACCACTTTTGTGCAGACAAAGAAACGAATAACCCAAACTAAAACACGAAAGTTACGCAAAGTTAAGAATCGTATATGGGCCCAATTATTGATATTGAATTGGGCCTCCCCATTGGGTTCCTGGGTCCACGCTATTCAGCATAGTAGTATTTTATGTAGAACAAGACAAACAAGAAAAGGAGAGAAGAAAAAGTATTGCAGAATCTAAGCATCAAAGTGGAGTGTGGTCTAGAGCATCAAACAGGAACAAGATTGTGTTCCAAACTAAAATTTTAATCACTAATTTTTATTTTTTTAAAAAACATCCCCACCACTTATTTATCTTAAGAATACTACTATATTAACCACTAGTGGCCGAAATATTGTTCAGACCAATGTAAATAAACTACATAAGCTATACTTTGGGAAGGGATTAAGAGAGAATCTCTAATCCCTAATAAAGTTCTGCAATGCATAATCTTTTGCATCGGAAATTGTCAGAGATTCCACCCACCGATCTGTGACATGTGTGTGGCTTTAGGACATTATGAGAACAAGTGAGAAAGAAACTCATCTAATGCCAATGCAATGCTTTGATCTTCCTAAACTCAATGATCAAAAACTCCCAAATGATGTCACTTTCTTTTCTTTCCCTCCATTCCTAGTCAGTGGTCAGAGAAATTCCAATCTGTTTTTGGTACAACATGAAAACCCTCTTGTGGTGGGTCACCTACTACCTATACCATGATGAAGATAAAGTGGGCCAACCCTACCAAAAAATCACTTGTCATTCAAATGCTCTTAAGGTATTTCAGTACCAAAAGCTAATTAAAGTAAATTTGTAGCTTCAAGTTTCAACATCCTAATCAATGTAGTGAGCACTCAGCAGTGATGGTACACACTCCTTAAAGTAGCTCACACAATTACCATTATAATTATAATTACAATATACTTTGTTTAAGTAACACTCCAGGCATTACTTCCTCCAAAACAAGCCCCAGCCAAAAGAAAACAACCAAATTTTCCTCTTAAAAAAAGGGTATACAACTTTTCATCCCATATTTTTTGGTTTGCTAGGAGAAGCACAAAGCATATAGTATTGATCAATTAGTTAATAATTAACCATGATAGGTACCCCAAATTAATAACATTCCCCGATGCATTCTCAGTTCCCACCTCCTCCACTTTGTCCTCCTCCCAACAACTTCAGATGAGAAAGTTTGACATCCTAATATTATTTGGACCCTTTTGCTTGCCAACTTGGAGAGACAGTGAGAGAGAGAGAGATCATGTCACAAGAAGCTAAACATGTGTCGTGATTTGCGCGTAGAGCCATTGGATTCTTAAAAAAAATTGTGGGTTTTAACAAACATTTGACCAATTTTGTTAACAGTGTCTTGATCAGAATTTTAATTCTGTACAACACATGTACATTTTCCTTTTAATAATTCAACACAACTTAACTCTAATGTTTCTTTGTATGATGAGTATGATGAGTGTGTATATATGGTGGTGGGGAAGGGTGCTTATTTTCTTGGACCCGGGAGAATAATTTTACTTTAATTTGTTTTATTCTCTCCTTCTCCCATTTATACAAATCAGCTTTATTCTATTAGGGAAAGAGAGAAAAAAACATGAAGGAAAGAAGTAAAAGGTGGAGTGATAACAAATGTAGGAGGGTATCAAAGAATAAGAATTTCTTTAATTTGGTTTTGAAAAATGGGGGGGAAAAAGAAGAAAAAAACCTCCACTGAGAGATAAAAGGCAAATATTATTGGAATATTTCATCTTTCCTTAGATCTGGGGCATCATCGATATATCTAGTGGCCATGAAAGTGTTTGCCAAATGTGAGATATATTCTCATACATGGTTCGGAGAATATTTTGCTTTACAATGTATTTGTGAGTTGTGACTACACAATATATATACACTAGTGTTAGAATTAGTGAAAACCACAGAAAGTTTTTGATTAGGTTTGATCTCTATAATGCAAGAGATTTTCTATTGAATATGACGTGGGTAATGTGTCTTTTACCACCTTGGTTTGTCCTTAAAGAAAATAAGAAATGTGGTCAAACTTGGATCAGCAAAAAGCCCTTGCTTTTCCACCTCTCTTTCTTTCAGAAAGAACCAACTACCACCAAGCACTGCCTCTGCGGGGGCAATAATGCCTCTCTCCATTCATCAATCATACTAACAACATTTTTTTTCCCCAATATTTTTCACGTACTATTTCAAAATTAAAAATTATAACTTCCGCTGGAACATTTGATAATGCACACAAAATTCAATATAATTAAAGCAAAATAGTAATCACTCTCCTAAGAATTTTTTTTTTAATTTTTATTATGATCTATAATATTTTTTTTAATAAAAGTGTTCAACATCATTAATGCATGTAACTTAGATGGGCTCATCTTATTACACTTTAATGAATCACACACCGCTACATTATATTCAACCAACCAATAAGTAACACGTTAATTTTTTTCTTTAATGATTAAATTTTAAGCAACTCTTACTGTACCCACATTTTTAATGTTCAATCTCCTAATTTTTAAGAATAAATAACCGTATCTTATATAAGACAGAACTTACTTTTAAGCAAGCTACTGTACGACATATAAACTTCTCTTACACTAAAAAAATTAAGATACGCTTGTTTATTAGACTTAAATTACCAACAGTAAGCTTGCAAATAATTAATGAATGTTGAGATATTTTGTATCTCTATATTTTATTTAATAAAATATTTAAAAAATTATTATTTTTTGATATATTTATTAGTGTTATATTTGATTTTTAAACTTAAAAATCTTGAGTTTAAGTCTTATTTTTTAAGAATGATTAATTTTTAATATTATTTTTAGTATTTAAATTTAAGGTTAAATTTTTTTTTTTAAATATGTACATCAAACAAGACAATCTCTTTTATTGTGTGTTATGTTATAAATACTAACAGTTATTATAGAGCGGACATTTAAACCAAAAAACACTATGTTCCTCTACTAAAATAAACCAAAAAAATAATTAATTTTTTCTCAATTTTATCTTTAAAAGATGCTTAAGTAAAAATAAAAAATAAAAAAAAAA